TTGTTTAGTACTCTGGTATCATCGTCACAAAATTCTTCTTTTTCTCTTGGAACATGAGTTTGTAAGTGAAGTGCAATGGTATAAGTGTGTATATATGTGTGCACCACCATTATTTGCTGCACCATTCAGATAAATCTTTTCCAACATCCCATGAGCACAGAATTGTGGTGGACACACAATGACTGGAAATTTAAAGAGACTCATAGAAGTAAAAAGAAGAGGAAAAGAAGACAAGGAAAGAAGTGAAAAAGTAAGAGATCAGAATAGAGGAAAAGACAGGCTAGGTGTTTAATTTCAAATTTCCTTGAAAACTCGGAAAATTTCACTTGCTCATTTTTTTTCTCAATTATCAACTGCTTCTTCTCTTTTCCTCAATAGATGGACCACAGATCAAATCCTTACGGGATGCCACCTGGGTTTTCACACCTGCACATCACAGAAAGAGTCAATAAATAACCCCATTTACCAATGCCCTTGACTAAAGGAAGCAGAAATGCAGAGCTAAACGGAAAACATTTATTTAGCCCAGAAAACTGAGAAAGGACAAGACATTTCAACACGAATTACACATTCAGACCCTCCACTCTCTCATACCACACTCCCTTGAACCTGCAGAGAAGCACAGCTTTCACTTCCCTAAACAAAACTTTGCATCCAGATACACACCTCTTGCCAAAGCCACTGCACCATCACACTCTCTCCCGCACAGCTTCACCCTCATACACACGCCTTTACACCGAGGTCCAACCTCTGCATGCTCCACCTGCCAACGCATGTCTCTTATGCAGGTAAGTTCTTGAAATCAGATTCCTCAACAATATGTTCAGTGAATGAACTCACAGCTAAGTTATTGGCATCTAGGTCTAAGATGGGGACCCAGACTCAGGATCCTGAAACAAGTTAGGAAGGATGCCTGTATTGTGAACCTAAATGATACTCAAGCTCAATATCCATTTCCCACTGTTTTCTGAAGGAAAACAAATGGGACCTGCTCCTGCCTCAATCTTTCTGGTCCACACATCCTTAGATAATCACAGGGTAGCAGTTATCTTACAACAGTTATTTTAAATCTTCCTTAGAGGGCAAGAATAGGCCAGAAAGAAAGGAGAAAAGAATATGGTAGTGACTCCAGCTGTCTAAATTCTATCATCCAAGCTTCTTTCCCCTATTATCACAGGTCAGTGCCAATGCTGAGCCCAAAACCATCTAGTGTCGTCACTAAAAATATCAATGTAATGCATTATGATAATATCTAATTTTACGTAGTACTTCACAAAGACATGTGTTTACTTGATCTTCCCAATATTTCTGTAAGAAGTAGAGGAGGACTTGTTTTCTTGGGTTTACTGGTGGGAGAGGTTAAATGACCTGCCCGAGGACACAAAGCCAGGAAGCAGCAAACCTGGGCCTTGGCCCTTGTCTTTGAACAACAAACCCAGTGGTATTACCACAGTATCATCTCGCCTCTGGCTAAATAAACATTACGTATGTATTATTTCAAAATATTCTTATGGGCAATGTGAGAATAAACCTGCCTTTTAAAAAAGTTTTTCTGCTCCAATAGATGCTATACAATATCAATATTCTTCATAGCTTTATAGGTTTTGGTTGATTTTAGCATTTTCAGGTTTGACAAACTGGCACTATACAGACTGCCTACTCTTTCTCTGGCAATGAAAAGTACATCATCTACATAATCTGCAAAGAATATGGTACTCTATGATTTCAAAAAAGAAGTCAGAAGCAGATTTTTCTCATCATAGCCCCCCGCCCTGACCAAAAGTAACAGAAGGTAGATCTCTGCTGTTCTCCCCTTCACTCTTAGTCCAGCAAAAGAAAAAGGATGAAAGAATGCACAGAACACAAATCCTACAAAATTTTACCAAAGCACACATGACATAAAAATAACCTTCCTCTCACATTTTTTAAGTGCATCAAAAAGAAGGTTCACAGTAATAATATCAAGAATTGAGGCAATGTTTAGAAGTTATAATGGTAAGCGCTCTAGAAATAGATGTATCTTTCCCATAAAAATGTGTTAATTGTTTCTCCAGTTCTTCAGCTTTGTGTCCCTGGTGCCGTCAGCCTCAGCACCTGATGGACTCTGCTTAGGCTGAGCAATGAATTTGAGTCTGAACTTGCAGATCACCAGCAATGTGATTTCTCCCTTAAGCATCCCCCTCCAACTCAGAGTGAAAGCCAAAGTCCCTTCTGTGGCCTAAGGATCTAGACTATCTTATCATTATCTAACATATATTTTACTTGTGCATTTTGTTTGCTATTTATCTGCCTTTGCTAAAACCTAAACTCTTTCATGGCAGGGATTTTTGTCTGCTTGTTCATTGCTATTACCCCAGTTCCACACTGACTGGTCCATGGTATGTGCCCACTAAGTACTATTGGGTTATTGGAGACCCGAGGAGGAGGAGAGGGAAGAAATGTGGGGGCATTTGACAAGAAAATGATAGATTCTGCTTTGGGAGAGCGTCTCTGGAAACTTCTTGACTCACTTCTGAGATTAAGCAGCCACAAGCAGCTCTTTATCTTCTAATTTTGCCTAAGACATCCACACAGCCCACAATGGGCATCCCCTCCCCTGCGTTAATCATTGTTTCTCGTCTCTCTTCTGCATTTTAAACCAAAGCAGAGGGTAGGAAGGCAGATGAGCTGAGCTTCTGGGCTAGATAGGAACCTATAGTACAGCCCTACACCAGCTGATGCCAATAACTTTTTCTTTGCTCTGTATCTTTTGTCTCATAACTTCCTAAACACCATCAGTCATCAGTTATCTTCGCTGCAGTAAAATATGTATGTGTTTCTTTGTATTGCAGTCCTAGGTGCTCTGTTATGGTAGGAATCAATAAGATGTCTCCTATTCTTACAAAAAAAAAAAAAAAAAAAAAAAAAAAAACTCAATGCAAATAAAGGGCACTCCCTAATTCCACCTCTTTGGAGCTCAGATAATGAGTAAAGATACTGCAGCACTAGGAATTGATGTTAGAGAAAAATAAGATATTCACCTAATTTGAAAGAGAGAGGAAATCAAGTATTGGACATATTAAAGGACACTAGGGCAAGGCAAAAACACCAAACTCTGAATCTGGAGACATGAGACCTAACGATAGTTCTGCAAATAAAATGCCTCATGAGCTAAATTACATCAGTTCACTTCTCTGGGCTTGGCCTTTTCATTGATTAGGGATGTGAATGATAACTGTACTCTCTTTTATCCAGAGTATATGTTGTTACAATATAAATATCTTATTTTTTTAAAAAAAATATGAGAATTATTCTGGGTATACAAATGTTTAATTCCATGAAGAGTCATCTTTAGTCAACAACAAAATTTTGTGAAGTTAGGTCAGATAGTGTCATTCCCAATTTAAAGATAAAAACTAAGGCACAAAAAGGCTTTGTAAATTTTTTCAATGCCACATAGTAAGCAGACAGAAAATCAGAGAATGACTACATTCATTGCCCTTTCTAAATTGAGACTGCCCACAGAAGTAAGAGATTTGTTCAAAGTCACAAACCAATAATGTTACAGAATCAGGGCTAAAATTCAGATTTCCTGGCATTTCTACTCAGAATTCTTTTAGGGATACATGTTATTGAGACAATGTGTATAATACTAGCTATCCCTCTACAGCAAGAACAGAATCCCCTTCTAGTCCCTTTATGGGTGGCAAATCCAGAATACCTAACTTTTTATATCTGCCTCTAATAGCACTTGCCATTATGATCTGACCTCACATCCAGCCGTTATACTGGTGAATTGGAGGACTATACGCTGACTTTGCCATAGTTGAATGCAGTATCCTCAACAAGCATATCTTATTTATCTCACACTTCCTTCTGGTATACCCATGTGAATGCTCAAATTGCTGTATATATTCAATCATGATATGAAAGCATATTCAGGTTGCCTAGCCTCTTCATAGGCACTTCAGATGATATATATATCATATATGTGATACATATCATATGTATCACATATATGATATATATACACACACACACAAACTAAGGCACAAAAAGGCTTTGGAGTTTTTTTCAATGCCACATAGTGAGCAGACAGAAAATCAGAGAATGACTACATTCACTGCCCTTTCTAAATTGAGACTGCCCAGAGAGGTAAGAGATTTGTTCAAAGTCACAAATCAATATATATATATACACATACACATATATGTATATATACACATATATACATACACATATATTATGTATATATACACATGTGTGTGTGTGCATGTGTATATGTACATACACAAAAGTGATTTGGTGTATATTTGGTACATAACAGAAAAAAGTCAATACATCATTGTATGATTAATTCAAAACATCAATGGCATGTTACTAAGAATGATCAGAATTTAGTCTTTATTGAAGTTATCAAAATGTCTAGGTACAGACAGTCATGGGCAGTGTAGAGGTTATGGTTGCATAAAGACATAGTTCTAACCCAACAGAATTTTGTAAGATAGTGGAAGTAGGAAAAATACAAAATTGGAGATTGCCAAGGACCGGTTTAGAAAGGGAAGGCCTCTGAGAAACAGGGAAATTTGTATTAAAACTTAATAGAGAAGAGGAAAATAAAGGAATGACACTCCCTAGGTAGGAGAAAAGGCATGAATGAGAGGTAAGAAATATCCCATGATGTGGATGGACTAGAGATCAATAAATGATGCACAGGATGTGGAGGGAGACAAGCCTGGAAGGGTCAGTTTGAGAAGATTAATAAATACTTAGCTTGGTGCTTTGGATATAGAACTCAAAACATCATTGTACAATATAGAAATTAGCAGAAGGTTTTAAAATGAATTATATGTGGTAGTCATTTCAGATGCTTGTACAAGTGAAAAACAAATTTTTTTCTGAGTCTGAAGAAGATTATTTCACAGAAAGATCTTTGTTTTATATAAATCAACCAAATATCTGATGTTACAGGGCAATCATAACAATACTACTCAGAAAGAGCCCTTCATTTACCAGGAAGAATGCCAGATTCAAACCTCAGTGCTAACCATCTTCCAGACACCTTCTTCTTAACAGGGATCCCAGGGCTGGAGGCTGCCCAGTTCTGGATACCCATCCCTTTCTGTGCTATGTATCTTGTAGCACTGGCTGGAAATGCTGCCCTCATCCTGGTCATTGCCTTGGACAATGCTCTTCATGCACCTATGTACTTCTTCCTCTGCCTTCTCTCACTCACAGACCTGGCTCTCAGTTCTACCACTGTGCCCAAGATGCTGGCCATTTTGTGGCTTCATGCTGGTGAGATTTCCTTTGGTGGATGTCTGGCCCAGATGTTTTGTGTTCATTCTATCTATGCTCTGGAGTCCTCGATTCTACTTGCTATGGCCTTTGATAGATATGTGGCTATCTGTAACCCATTAAGATATACAACCATTCTCAACCATGCTGTCATAGGCAGAATTGGCTTTGTTGGGATATTCCATAGTGTGGCTATTGTTTCCCCTTTCATCTTCTTGCTGAGGCAACTCCCTTACTGTGGTCACTGTGTCATGACACACACACACTGTGAGCATATGGGCATTGCCTGACTGGCCTATGCCAACATCACCGTCAATATTGTCTATGGCTGACTGTGGCTCTGCTGGCCATGGGACTGGCCTCATTGCCATTTCCTATGGCTTTATCCTCCATGCACTCTTTCATCTTCCATCTCGTGATGCCCAGCACAAAGTTCTAAGTACCTGTGTCTCCCACATTGGAGTCATCCTGGTTTTCTACATCCCTTCCGCCTTCTCCTTCCTCACCCACCGCTTTGGTCGCCACCAAGTCCCCAAGGATGTGCACATCTTTCTGGCTAATCTCTATGTGCTGGTGCCTCCTGTGCTCAATCCTATTATCTATGGAGCTAGAACCAAGCAGATTCGGAGCTGACTTCTAAAACTGCTTCACCTGGGGAAGACATCAATATGAATTCTGAGCAGAAGTTGGAGATTAAAAAAAAAAGTGTAGGATAGCTGTCTAGATACATTTACATGGACAGACACTGATGATGTGAAAGGAATGGTTTGACATGGCAGGAAGCTCTGGAAGGAAGAGAAATAGTGAGATGAATCGGAGCTATCAATGATCACATTGAACATACTATTTTCCTGAGGCTCCTCAGGGAACTCTGAATACCCCAGAAAGGTGATAATATTCTCACACTTGTCTCAAAAGTGTCTATGACTTGCTAAGGAGAAAGTAAATTCCTGGTCTTCAGAGGCATCTGGATTTAAGGGTAGGAATATTCTCCTGTGAGTCCAAGTGAAAAATAGAAGGTTTGGAGTGAATTTGAGTTTGAATTCCATCACTTTGAGTATTGATGTATTGGTTTAAAGCACAAAGTATAAAGTCAGAGTGCCTGCATTTGAATCCTGACTGCTCACTTGTGACCTTGAGCATATTTGAAATGTTTCTGTGCCTCAGTTTGGCCAACTGTTAAATGGGGATAATAATAACATCTAACTTTGAATGTTGTAGTGAGAAATAAATAAGTTAGAAAACTGAAGACAGTGACCAACATGTAAAGCACTCATTAAATAAATATAAAATGAGACAGTTATGTAACCTCTGTAAACATTACTAGTAAAGATATTTAACCTACATAAAACTTTTTTTACATTACCTCACATCACAGGGTTATTGTGATAATTGTATTAGATAAAAATTCTATAATATTTTAAAAGTGCTGGAGATATGACTGGTACTTAATAAAATCGTATTTTCTTTCACTCCTCCCACACTCATCCATTTTGAGGTCTCTTTCCTTTTAGCCATAAAGTTATCCCTTATTAAGAATTCACGGGAGCCAGCCCCAAATCTGTTGGGAGAAAAACTGGTTGTTGGAAGAGAAGCTAAAGCAGGGCTTGCATGACTGACATGTCTGACATAATGTAAAAGTCCTGGAACATGTCTGGGGTCCAGGATCTAAAACCATTTGTGGCCTTTGGAACACCAAGCTCTGTGCTAAAGAGTGGAAGGCTACCCTGATGCACCATAATCTAAGCCCAGGGCATAAAACCCCTCATGGCTTGGATAGAATCCAGGGCTCATGGCTCTGGAATGTGTCTAGACTTGCTGGCTCTTTGCTCCTTGCTGTCCCAGGATCGATTGTATCTTGAGTTAAAAGAACCTGCTCTCCGTTATCTCAAGTAGCAGAGCATATGCTAAACATTCACAACTGTAAATCATGTGCTTAATGCAATGCACCCTTTTGACCCCCTACATTCTCACCATCTGTTTCTTTGTTTGATCACCCATTAATAATCTGGGCTTCCAGAGCTCAGGGCCTTCACTGCCTTCACAATCCCGATGGCCCCCTGGTCCTACTCTCTCCCTGAAACTGTCTTTTTCTTAATCCTTCGACTCTGCTGGACTTCATCACCCCCATGACCTGGTGTTGGGTCTGATCACCCCAACACAAATCCATGTTCCTTTTTTAACAGTAATGCTTTAGTAATCTCAGTTTTGAAATAAGTCCACCCATCTTCTTCCAACTCTTCAGAGATGATCGTTGTTATTTGCATTATAAATTAAAAGCCTGTCATTCAGGGAGACTAATAGCCTAAGGTTATGGCATTTATTAACAATATCTCATACATTGTCCAGTATTTTATTATGCAAAGATTATGAGATCTGTGTGCAGATGACCATAGACTTATCTACTAGCTGCGTGAATTAGGGCATCCCACTTTACTGCCCTCAACCTTAGTAAAGTGTTTATTATAATCTCAGAAACAAAGCAAGTATTCAATTCCAATTGCTGGCAGTTAGTAGTATTCAGCTAATAATTCTTAAAGTTATAAAGGTATGCTAAGTTTTATTATAGCTGCCTGACTTAATCTGCAGTGTTCATTTATTTGCTTTTGAATTGATAACCATTTTAATACTTCATCAGACTAGGCATTTCATCTGTGCCTTGCACATAATTAATAAGCACTCAATAAAACATTATGGGAAAAGTGTTAGAGATTATACTAGTATGTATCATAGTCTTGGTTCATTTAATGAATAAATGATGTCTTCATTATGCTAATGTGTTGGATAATGAAAATGTATGTCTAGCACAGTGTCTGGCACACAGTAGGTATTCAGTAATTTGATTCTTGTTTATATTACACTGAGGCTGTTCAGATATAGTCACATCCACAAGAATCAGAACAAAGAGTATTTTTATCTAGAAAAGCAATTCCAGGAAAAAGTTTCACAAGTTCATAGGTAAGACAAGAGAATAAGTGTCAGCTGTGACCATGGAGAGCTCCTAGTTCAGCTGTGGAGGTAAATTCATGCACAAGGAGCTGTCACAGGTCAGGGACAGTCATGTCTTGGCCCAGAGGAGCTCAGAGGAGAATGATCAGAGGTGTAGAACAGATTGGAAGAGGAGGAGGTACCAGACAATGGTGCAGGAAGGAGACAGCAAAGAGGATTACTGAAAGAGCTTGAGGAAGCTGGGGGTGATTACATTTTGAGGGGTCCTCAAAATCCAGGCCCAGATGAGAAGACACAGGCAGCCCTTACAAATTTTATAAGTCAGTCTCCAGTGAAATATTGATGGATCAATCTCAATCAGTTGTTACTGAAGTTTGAAATAAAGCAGTGCAAATGACTAACACAGAAAGACAGGATTTCCCAAGGTGAAACTTCACTGATTACCACATTCCAGTGTTCAGCATCATCTTTCCCTAAAAAGGCATAAAATATGGTTTTACCTATGCACTAAAAAGAAATTCAGCTTTTGAGTACAGATAGGTGTCACCAACCCTAGAGCATGTGCAAATCATTTAGACTGCTGCATGAACCTGATCCTGCTAAAGCCTTAAACAGTCCTTCTCCTGGACCACTTTGAGAAATGAGTTCACAGTTTGGCACATAAATCAGTGCAATTGCCAAATTGCAAAGAAGAGTTAACAATAAGCCTAACCTCAGAATCTTGTCCTACTAGGTAAACTTGTTCCTTTATCCCCAAGTCTAGCCGTTTCAATCTGTGCTGAGGAAGACTCTCTGAATTCAATTTTAAGTAATTCAGCACTGGTAAGGCCCTGAAGAACTACCCTGCCAAGTTCTCCCCAATTCCATAGCACATCTCCAGAACCAGAATGCACCTCACCCCACCAAGTCTGTCTCTCTCTCACAAAATAAACATAAACACACACACACACACACTCACACACACAATTTTGTCTATGTAGGATCCAAAAAACAACAAATTCTTCCCTCTGAATGCTGAAGAAACTATTTTCTCTCTTCCATCTCACTCCATGTTATTTGACTTTATTCTGATGTGCTAACAATGGTTCTCAGCAGCACAGAGACATTCAATTTGCTATTATAAATATATTAATAGATAATTTCTTCATTGTGATTTAGATTATTCTCTTAATTTTTTCTAACTGAGATTCTAAATTCCCAAAGAGTTGGAACTTAATTTGTACCTTTCTCTGTGTAAGGGCAAGATAAGACACACTTTCTATTCACTTGTTTCAAGGGAATTGATTGATTCTGACTATGGAGCAGCACAGAGCCAAGATCACAAATTCTGGAATCCAAGAGCTCTGGTCCCTACATCTTTGTTAATCAGGAGCCATATATGTGACCTTAGGAAAGTTACAGACCTTCTCTGTGCTTGCTTATTCCTCTGTATAATGTTACATAACCTGTCTTGGTGTTTAAAAGAATCAGTGTAGTTGCTATGTCAGGAGTAGAGCAAAAAAATAATGGGGAACCAGGATAGTAACAATGAATCTGCTTAGAATGCTATTGCAATGCCAGCAATTTTCACAGAGTGGTAGCAAGGAAGATGGTTACAAGGAGTCTGATTCTGGATATATTTTGAAGGTTACACCAACAGCACTTTATAACAATTGACTTTCATCAAGAGAGAGAAGTCAAGGATGCCTGTAAGGTTTTTGGTCAGAACAACTGGAAGTGTGGATTTGCCTTTGTTTGTTTGAAGACAAGGAAGACGGGTTTGTGGAAGAAAATAATTAGTTCATTATCTCTAAGGTATCCTAGAGGAAATGTCTCATAGGTTGGACTACAAAAGTCAATCATTCAGTGAGGAGTCTAGACTAGAAATATAAATTTGGAACTCATCAATATATACATGGTATTTAAAGTCAGGCAACTGGTCAAAAACACCAAGGAAATGAGATACAATAGAAAGATAAGAACTCCAAAGTGAAGAAGTCAGAGAGCTAAGAAGGAATCAACAAAGGAAAGTAGGAGGTAAAGGTCTTTGAGGGATGGGTTCATTTGAAAGTGTGTGATGTCTAGGAATATAAGGGGAAGTGTTTCAAGAAAAAAGAGGAGGTGACCAACTGCATCAAACACAAGAATTACTCAAATATGGCTGTAAGGCACGAAGAATGACTGAAAAATGACCACAGTATCCAGCAACGCAGAGATTTTTGGCTACCCTGGCAAGCATGGTTTCAAACTTTAGAGTGGTTTGGGCAAGGCTTAGTATAGTAGGGCTAAGGGAAAAAGAGGAAAGAAACTTGTGTCAGTGAGCATGAACAACTCTTTGAGTAGTTACTCTGTTGTAAAGGTGATCAGAAAAATGACTTGGTAGACAGAGGATAAAGGGGACAGAAGACATTTGTTTTTCTTGTTTTTGTTAGTGTATTCTTTTTAAAATTAGAAAATAGCAGGATATCAATCTATGGAAATGAATCACTGGAAAAAAAAGTTCGATGATACAGGAAAGAGAGGAAGACTGTTCTTGAATAGGTAAGTGTAGAAGGAATCTAGCATTTTTGTGAAATAGTTGCATTTAGTAATTCCATCTACAGCAGCAGGAGAGCAGGCAGAATATATTGCCACTTATGCACATAAGTGGGTGGATGTGGAGGTGAGAATTTGTGAGTATTCTTTCTCACTGTATCTGTTCTCTCAGTGAAATGGGAAGTAAAGTCTCCAGGCAAACATGAGAA